TGCAGTGGATAACGAGCCCGAGCGAAGGATGAGAGGCCGAGGTGTAAGCGATCATTTTGCTTGATATTATAATTAGATACGCGCAGGATTGTAGGTGAAGAGGACTTAGAAGTAGACTGACTACAGTAGGAATGTTCGTGGAAGATCACTTGAACGAACACGACTCATACCTACTTAGAGGTTACTGTCCACGGGCGGCACGTGCCTGAGTGAGCTCATACAGTGGGGAGGCGCTGAGGCGTGCGGTCTTTTGCTGGGCCTCGCAATTGCTACTGACGTAAGCTGTACACCTGTATACCTTGACCTGTTGCCTGCTGCTGCATCCTGCCTGCTGCCTGCTGCATCCTGTCCTGACCTGCTGCATCCTGAAGACCAGTGGGCCATCAGCGATGCTGCTGCTGGGTATAATGTCTCGAGGATGCCCGGGCGTCCTTTCGCATTGTTAATACCTCTGTTGAAACACTCTATGTTGCACACGTACATCGATATAGCCCTCTGCCTACCACGCCCTGTTCCATACGTCCTGGTTCCTTCAATGTAATACACTTTACACATCATACTTCACATTTTCTACTCCATAAATACAACCTCCACACAGCTTATCAACGCCATCATTTCTAGGTAGGGCAATCCGTCTTCGGACCATCTCCCTCCCCCCCCCCCCAAAAAAAAACCCTCTTTATTCTTCCCATCCGCCGCGGCGCAAGTTAGATGCCGCTACCTGCGAGCCCAGGCGTTAATAAGTACCCAGCAACCATATCCCGAAGTAATAATATCGCCACAGGCATATCCCCACGGTGCGGCAAAGATGAACGCCACGGCGAAATTTACCCTCTTCCCTGATCTTCCGCTAGAGCTGCGTATCCAGATATGGCAGGACGCCCTGCCGGACACCATTGGCCCAGGCCTGTACAGTTATAGACCGGGATGCTGGGAGCCTCGACTCCTCACCGAGTCTGACTACAACTACACGCCGGGCGATGATTCAATGAACTGGGCATTAAATTTTCACTACGATCGACTAGGCAGCGCGCGCTTGAACATTGCCTTAGTATTGGTCAACAGAGAGGCTCGGGATGTCGCTCTAGACTGGGCGGCCAGGCAAGACGTCGAGATACGCCAAACCGGCGATAGTCAGGTCCTAATACGCCATTTCGACCCAGAACGCGACTGTATGTACGTGTCCCTGGACGACTGGGATGCCTTCCAAAGGGAGGAACTGGAGGTGCAGTGGAATCTCAATAATTGGGAGATCAGCTACCATATAGAGTGCCACGTTACCCGGATTGCCGTGCCCGAGGCCATCTTCACGCATAAAGACGCGACCTGGAGGGGGCTGGACGACTTCTTCGACGGATTCTCGTCTATACAAGCATTATACGTGGTTTCTGGCCAGCTGTCGGATATGCCGTCCCCCGACAGTGATGAAGACCTGCCCTGGCACCGCGAAATAGATATTTTGCAAGGCACGGAAGTGGTTTGGGACGAAGAGAACAAGACTTGGCTTCCACAAAGTGCCGTTGAGGAAACACAGAATCAGGTCTGCGACGAGGTTATTCAGCAGGCTTCTCAAGAGTTATCCAAAGGACTTGCCGTGGGCGTCCACAATCCTTTCAGAATCTGTAAAGCGTATCTTGTCAAGTAATCAGCATTGAAGCGGAGCGAGGAAATTGAGAAGATTGAGGGAAGCGAGGGGAGAGAATACGATACCGCCCGTCCACACGCACGACTGACTGGTCCACACTGAGCACTATCCGTGCTGAGGCGCTACGAAAATATCACAGACCAACAGACAAAATCTGGGCACAGGCTTGTTACCCCGCATGACAGGGCTCACATGCGCATCTACTGGGCATATGTCGGCGATATGAACCTTGGGGAGACCTTGGAAGTGATAGGTATTGCCTGAATCCCTACCACATTTGCACTGCCAGGGTTACCCCGATTATACCTGGGCCACATGTGCGGAATACCATGAAGACATGGGCATACAGAAAGAAGTATTATTGGTGCGAATATCTTCGGACCTCACGGCTGCGTTCCCCTTTCCTTGGGGTAGTCAAGTTCCACAGTGTCATCAGCGTGTTCGCTCCTAACACTAGTAAGGACTAACCACCATGGTCCCAGACCTGCCTCTGCACACCAACCACTGGCCAGCCTGCACATCGGCTCTGCATCGTCCAATATCCCCCGTACCACTTCGCCTTTTACTGACCACTCACGGAGCATAGGAAGAACATCCATAAGCAACCTGCATGCGGAGAGACGTTGGCTGCCCCGCTACTGCCACCCAAAGACGGGATTCGATCGGAGGGAGGGGAGGAAGGGCGGGGGACATGCTCATTCTCGCCTGTTGAATACTGGCTCCCTGGGCTCAAGGTCATGACTCTTGCTTGACTGTATAAATAGGGCCACGTGCCAACCCGCCATGGCATGTTGAACTCTGTCTTGGCTCCGCGGCCTTACTTCTCAACGTCTAGCCCAGATCTCTTAGCCTCGGCACATGTGCAGACCGTACTGAATCTTAGCGGTATTTTGCAGCAATATGGCGACAACCAGTCCGCAGGCTTCTGGGTTGGGCAAACCCGAGCTCGACCAGGTCGAGAAGCCGGAACATTTCGAGGTAGAGGACACAATCACCCCGACTGAGGAAGAGAAGAACGCCTATATCCGCAAATTGGACTGGCGACTGATGCCTGTTATCTTCCTCATATACATGCTCTCTGTTCTAGACCGGTCGAACCTGGGCAATGCGCATGTCGCCGGGCTGGACGATGGAATCGGGCTGGTCGGGAACCAGTATAATATGTTGGGAACCGTATTCTACATCGGATGTAAGGTCGCTCGTTTGTTTTCTCCCAAATTGTTCAGGTTCTCTCACTGACCGGCCTCCAACTCTCCAGACATCGTCTCCATGTGGACCGTCGTTGGCTGGAAACATTTCCCCGCGCACATCTGGTGCGCCTGCGTCGTCTTCGGCTGGTCCGCCATTTCTTCCCTCCAAGCCTCTGTGCAAAATTACGGCGGGCTCATCGCCATCCGGTTTCTCCTTGGAGTCTTCGAGGCCATGTATGCAGGCGTGCCCGTCTACCTATCCTTCTTCTACCCCAAGCACAAAGTCGGCTTTCGGCAGGGCATCTTCATCTCCGGGTCGGCGCTGGCCAACGCTTATGGTGGTGCTTTGGGCTACGCCATCCTCCTGATCAAGAGCAAAGTCCCAGCCTGGAGGATTCTTTTCCTCATCGAGGGCTTGCCGACGTTGCTCATGACGATCGTGGCATTCTTTATGTTGCCGGACAGCATTCGTGATGCGAAATTCTTAACAGAAAGAGAGAAGGATGTTGCTGTGTACTGTATCAGCGAGGGACAGGTTGCTGACACTGCCAAGGGTCAGCACGCGGGAGTCCGTGTCCAAGAGCTCCTTGCTGGTCTAAGAGATTGGCGCAGTTTCGTCACTGGCATCATATATTTCGGCTGTAACGTAAGAGCACAGAAACCTCTCGTAAGTCTGTCACTCAAGGCTGACCACATGAGACAGGTTTCATTCGCGTCTTTGCCTCTCTTCGTACCCACCATCATCGCAGAAATAGGCGTCTTCTCTACCATCCAGTCCAATGGACTCTCGGCACCTCCATACCTGTTCTGCTTCTTTGTCATCCTTGCCACGAACTTCACCGCCGACAAAGTGCGCATCCGCGGCCCCTTCATCAGCTCCTTTGCCTTCATCGCAGCTGTAGGCTTCATCCTCCTAGCCACGACCAAGGCTCCCGCGCCCCGCTACCTCGGCGTGTACCTCGCGATGATGATATTTGTCTGTGTTTCGCTCATGATGGGCTGGGTGTCGAACATGCACAGCACAGAGAGTAAGAGATCAGGCGGGTGGGCGGTTTTTCAGACCTTGGGTCAGTGTGGGCCGTTGTTGGGGACGAACGTGTTCCCGAAGGATGAGAAGCCGTACTACGTGAAGGGTAGCTGGATCTCGACGGCCTTTTGCCTGCTTGTAGGGGTGGTGTCGGCGGGGTTGAGTTTCTCGCTATGGAAGGAAAACAGAAGACTAGATAAGGTCTTTCACGAGGATCCAGAGACTGAGACAGAGGCCACACCGTCGAGGGGTTTTAGATATATCATCTAGTGGTGTTTAAAATGAAAAGGGAGTCTCATGCTCCTCCATGAGGATCACTCGAGAGACCTCAAGAGGCCGGCTCCACCTATTAGGAGTAAACGAATGGTATAATTGTAGGGTAGTAAGTACTTCATTCAGATTGATATGCGGTCCCAAAATATTTTGGCATACCAATTCTCGAAGAAAATTGCCCGAGAAGAATGATTACGGTTATAGCGGTTTGATGGCTTGACTTCAACGTCGGCAAACCGCTGTCCGCACAGCGCATTCCTGATGACGCTTACACAAAGCCATGTAATCGAGAGTTCGCGGCGTCATCTGTTCTTCAGCACATGCCCTTCCCTATACACTTGGGTATTCTTGTGCATGTTAAGCAACATCATAAGGGGTGATAACTAGAAACAAGGGGTCGAGTGGACATCACGGGTATTGCGAAGGACAACAACACCTATGAAGCCGTCGCCGACGAAGAATATCTACCAAATTATGAATCAATCAATCCGAAATTCACAACCATATGATTAGAAGTCGCAGAGCCAACGCTTGAGCAATGCTAGGACTCGGAGAAGACATCTGGATGTCTTGGATCGACACCTGACTGCTCAATAGAACAAGATGAAAGAGCTTGAGTCAACAAAAGTAAGGCAAGGGGAAAGTACAGCCGTCGAACATCGACAAGACGGTCAGGAAAAACCCTTGTGAGATGCTAATTACGGTAACAACGTACACAACCACCTTAGCTACATACGAGTGAACAGTCTGGGCAGAGGGTGCGTCGTACCGTTAGCGTACTCGTGAAGATAAAAGAATTGGACGGGATAACATAACATGGATAGAAATAATCCCTAGATCAAACTAAAAAAAAAAGTACCAAAAATGGACAACTAGGGAATCGAACCCTAGACCTCGTGCAATCTCAAACGATGCTAAGCACGCGCTCTACCACTGAGCTAGACGCCCTTGTTGTTGAAATGGACTTTTTGAGAATCCTATATACAGATGACAGTACGTCTGGCGAGAAGTTTGTTCAGGTTTTCGAGATCATAATACCTAAAGAACGGTTTCTATATTGCGAGAACAGCTATTGGCACTTACCAGTTACTCTAGGTTAATTCTGTACAAGCTAGAACCCGAGTCAATTAAGTCCTTGTGCGGATAGTTTATGTAAAGCAAGAGGCCCCACGATTATAAAGTTGAATACAAACCGTGTAGAAGTACGACATGCGCAGTCTTTCTCAAAGGCTTTGTGACGCCCATATTGTTGCAGTCTCGCGTGAGCTCAGATGTGCTCTAGAAAACATGAAGCATCGTGGACTTCCATACGACTAGTGGGCGCCCAACGTCAGGAGAGCAAGGAAGGGCGAATGCTTTTTGATGCCACATAATTACTTGATACGTGGCACCATCCGGTCGACTTTTTAATATTCGAATCGGGTCAAGCTGGTTTTCTGACAATATGGACTGGGTGGACACATGTCAGAACAGAAGAAGAATGTGAACGATGATAGCCGCGCTCTTTATCTCCTCACCAAACTATCATCCTCATCTATTATGGAGATCTGAAGGGAGGGGGCACGGCGTTGATATCAAGTTAGCGCCCGGGCGACGAATCATCGCAGCAACATGTTGGGAAGGTTTACGATAAAGACTAAGCGACAACCGACCGCATGGTGATTATACCTCCACTGAAGTTGCAGGCTGAAGGACCCCTGAACCTACCCATGTACCGCCTGAGCAGTCCAGTGTTGGTGTTTGCCTCAACAATTGTAGTGTCCTTCAAAGAAACCTCCTGATATTCCAAGATAATGGAAACGCCAGTAGAGAAGACAGCAGGTTCCACTAGATGAGACGAGTGCCGTCATCTTGAGCACTTTTTACCTTCTCTTTTGGCTATATAGTAATCAGTACAGGCTACATACGTAGACACACTATCTACAAGGGCTGGCAATGCATATGAACGACTGAGGTTGGGGGTGGCATACTAGAGATAAGCTCCTTCAGATCTTGGCCCCTTGCTGATTGGCTTCCGCGGCATGCTTACGGCGATAAACTCCCCTGGCTGCTACAGAGGCGTCCCTGTGACCCGGCAGTGGGATGATAAGTCCATGCCTCAGGGCACATATAAGCTTGTCTAATGGCTCCTGTCATGATGCACGGCTAGAAAGTGAGATAATCCTCTTGTTTCAAAGGTTACCTCGATATACACGGGGTTGTGAAGCCCAGATCCTGTTGATGATGTCCCTGTGAACATTTCATTAGATTCCTGAGCTACCTACCCCAGCCTCGAGAGTACTTGCAGCCACAAGCTTGACGCGAGCTGTCTTTTACCGGAAATCCAATCCAAGGCCCTTCGATAAAGAGTCACGACGGGAGCGACCTGTGGACTTGACGGAAATAGCACATGATAAACAAGCCAAAGAGAGGCCATACCTAGTGCCGATGCGCCAGTCGACAATGGAAGAGCCGGCAGTGTTAGAGAGTAGACCATCCAACACGATCCAGGAGCATGACGAAGACCGACTCGCGCAATTTGGTTATAAACAAGAACTCAAGCGAGATTGGGGCCTAGCCCATAACTTTGGTGTCTCGTTCTCCATAATCAGCGTCATCACCGGTATCACAACCCTCTTCTCCTATGGACTTGAGACTGGCGGCCCGGGTGTGATGTCTGTCGGCTGGATCCTAGTCTCATTCTTTACACTCCTGGTGGCCATCGCCATGGCCGAGATCGTCTCTGCCATCCCTACTTCCGGTGGTCCATACTTCTGGGCTGCTCTCCTCGCGCCGCCCCGCTGGAGCCCCTTCGCGGCTTGGTTGACTGGATGGTTCAACCTACTCGGCCAGGTCGCTGTCACAACTGGCATCTCCTTTGGCCTGGCGGGACTTGTCGCTACAGCTGCGATGGTGAAGAACCCCGACTTCGAAGGCAACGCCTCCCAAACCATCGGCATCTACGCCGCCGTACTAGTATCTCATGGTTTGGTCAACAGCTTTGGGGTGCACATCCTTAAACACCTCAACAACATCTCAATTGTTCTTCACAGTGTGGGTGTATCGGCCATCGCCATTGCTGTGTTGGCGAAGGCGCCTACACATCAGCCCGCATCGTTCGTCTTCAGCACTTTCTACGATGGGACAGGCGTCGACGGTGTTGGTTGGAGTGTCCGGGCGAGCCCTGCGTATGTTGCCATGTGCGGTGCTCTCATGAGCCAGTACACCCTCACAGGCTTTGATGCGTCGGCGCATCTGTCGGAGGAGACGCGCAAGGCTGACTGGAGCGCACCGATTGGTGTGGTATCGAGTGTTGGGTTCAGCGCTATCTTTGGGTTCTTTGTCTTGTTGGCCTTCCTGTTTTCCGTACAGGACTTCTCCGCCACGCTGGACAATCAGTATAGCCAGCCTGTCCTGAAGATTCTGGTGGACATCTTTGGGGAGGATGGAGCTTTGGCTGTGTTCTCTGTCATCATCAGTGAGTTACCTGCCCCAAGGTTCCCGAGGTCGGCTACTCCAGCCGATACCTAACTATATGTACTTAGGTACCCCCATGTTGATGCTGATCTTGTGATAGTCTGCGTCTGGCACTGCGGCCTCTTCTCGATGACTTCCAACTCACGTATGATGTTCGCCTTCTCTCGTGACGGTGGCATCCCATCCTTCTTCCATAAGGTTGATGAGCGCTTTCGGTCCCCCATCCGCACCATCTGGCTCGCCGCCACGCTGTCATTCATACTCGCTCTGCCGTCTCTTGGTTCTTCTGTTGCCTTCTCGGCTGCCACGTCCATCGCCACTATCGGCCTTTACATATCGTATGGACTACCCATCCTGATTGGGCTCGTCTGGCACAATAATTTCAAGGCGATGAAGGGTCCTTTCAACCTGAGGGGCTTGTCCCGTGTGGTAGCAGCCAGCGCGTGTGCCTGGATAGGATGCATCACAGTTGTGTTCTGTCTTCCTACGAGCAACCCTGTTACGGACCAGACGCTGAATTATACGGTCGTCGCGGTCGGTATCATCGGTCTGGGCGCCGTAGGAACATGGCTAGTTTGGGCGCGTCGGTGGTTTACCGGCCCGGCGCAAGAGGTTGCTGAGGCTTTGCGGCTGGGCATCGACCCGACAGAGCCGGGTGCACTAGAGAGGAAGGAGGCAGAGGCTATGGAAAATACTAAGGAGGTCAGTGTTCCGACGGAGTCTACTCAGTATTAAACTATTTGGTGGCTGCCAAGTTTGACTTCGTTATGCCCCATCGGTAACTTAGTAATTGATTTGGTTTTATAAGGAGGGCACCTCAGCTTCATATTGACTCCTTTGGACAACTACACTACATACATTCATCACGAAACTGGGAATGCCACTTGGGCCGTTGGCACATAGAGCTACATACACATGTACTATATGTGTAATTTACCTTGCTTTAAAGACCGTCGGAGCAAGCCAATCTGCTACTGCTGGTGATGCTTGAATATTAACGTCGAGGGAATGTCTCCTGTGACTCTACAGTAACCAGTCTAAGTGCTATAAGTTATTCTGTGGGGATAGTGTCCGTTTTCATCCAATTCTCTTTACTATTAATACACTCCTATAACAGCATCCAGTGTGGAAGGTTGTTTCCACGTGTCAAAATAAAGTCAACCTACATCATATGTGTAGGTGAATCGGTAAAGTATCAAAGATGTTAATTGCACCCGAATTTTCAGGACAGCTATTGATAATTACACGAGACAGGATAATTTATGAGAATCTCATCTTGAACACGGACTCCGGGCGGCTTAAAATATCTTCTTGGCGCCAGATTACACGTACGAGCTAACCACGGAAACCTGAAACAAGAAGACATAGGTAGCATTAACAAGCAGAAGAAGCATATTATAACCAGCCGAGTTGGATTGATTAGAGATAATTAGAGCAAGGTAACAGAGACTACCTGGATCCTTCGATTCCACTTCATATACCTCTAGGAAGTCAAGAGACATCTTTTATCTCTTCGGGACAGCTCAACATGCAAAGGTCTCACCTGCCCTCAGCCCCACGTAACCAAGTTTTATACGTGGGCAGCAAAGTTGTTGCTGGCTGAAAATATGTCACATGTTAACCCTCCCTCTATCCACCGTCGAAGCTCAAGTGATACCTAAAGGAGCTCGCACTGGGATATCCTCTGTGTGGCCATAGTGCCTGATAAACTTCCTCCTCTCAATTAATCGGAAGTAATAGGCATAGATATTGGACTAGCTGATCGTGGGCATGCTCCAGCTTGAATAGACGGCGGTGGAGGATGCAGGCGTGGGCGCGGGTGCCAGCCAAGCCGATGATCGACCCGGGCGAGGCTTCTGGTACTAATTACCGGTATGTAGTCCGGATACCCTAGGGTATAAATTATAATATAATTCCAGTAATTAGAGCGAGCGGGCATTTGGCAGTCGATTCGAGTCAGACTCGAACTTACGGGGCCCCAGGAGTTCGTCATCAACCAAAGACCCTGACTAAGGATCAAGAATGGTTTATAATATCAGATGGAATCAATCCGGGTTCCGGAGTCCGGTCTTCTGGATCTTTCTCCGCAATGGCGTGCCTCCCACGCGCTCCTCGATTGAGTCTAGTTTTGGCAACCAATTGAACCGAAGCCAATTCCCGGTCGTTCGGATTTGACAATAACGACTCACTCCTTGCTTGAGCACATCCCCAGGCTTCAAGGGTTCCTCGAGTACCTTCCCAGCATTTAGTGACTATCTAGATACCTAAGTATTAGGTACATAAGCGCGTCGCGGAGACAAGCAGTGCGTGCTCGCCCCACCAAAGCGCACACTCCGATCTACGCATATACGGTACCACCAGTTGACTACTGCTTGCTACACCACACCTCACCTACACCCACGCCTACGCCTACACCTACAGCTGCCTCTACCTACACCTTACAACCTCAACCGCACCTGGGCAGTCACATACACAGAGTCGGGCAGTGGCTA